TATGGCCCAGCCTAATAACCGCTGGTTAGGCCGACCCTTGCTTTCTACAGTATTTTGTTTTTGTTGCACGGTTCAGATCAGTTTTTTGTTAGCATCTCATCTTATACATGTGCTAGCATCTCATCTTATACATGTGTTAGGTACTTGCCGCATGATACAGAACACAGACGGCTACTGCATATGCGTCCATGTTTCTTTTTCTTTTCCCCCGAGGAGAACATACTTATATTCATCTGCTCACGCACGGATGCTAAGCAGCGGCGAATCTAGACTAAACTGCTGCCGGGGTCGCACAGATTCATGAACTCAATTTGATGGGGTCGTAGCTGGCCAGAATACGCGGGGTTCCACTGATTCGTACAAAGTTATCAGGGTCGCATGACCCCGACACATATGCACTGGCTTCGCCGCTGATGCTAAGATACAAGGTACTAAAATTCATGTGTTAGATTTTTTTGTTGTTGTGCACGTTCCTTCTCTCCTGTATTTTTTCTCATATAAACGTTAAAACAAATAACAAATATAATATTATTAGTTCTTTGAACAATTTACCCTTTTCTAAGAAATAAATATTTTCATCACCAAATTGTTGGTGTAGTTTTGATGAGAAATAAAAATTATTTTTCAAAAACTTTTTCATCCATCTTCTCTCGTGTCGGTCCGTCATTTTGAGAGTCCTAAGTACATCCGTACTTGCGCCAGGATCACGCACAATTACGCACAAATCATAAGGATGGTACACAGATATATAATAAAAGGTTCCAAGCTTTATTGATATCTAAAAAATAGAGTCTTACAATAGTGGCCCAAAGGGGCATGGTCTTAGGCTTACATATCTCGCGAAATACTACGGCCGTGAAACGGCATTATTCCTAGTAGTCTCTAGAGTGATATTTTTATACAGTGAAGCGGTGTCCTATTCCACAGGCAACTTGAGCGCGGTCGAAACCCTAGCCTCGATGTCATACTCCTACGAACGTATTTCCTTACGTGACTCCTAATCCTCATGGTACGTCTCGTCGTCGAAGTCATAGTCTTCTTCCATGCCGAAGTCTGTGGGTCAACAACGGATGAGCACATACGTACTCAGCAAGCCCTAACCATAGGGTGAAAATAGGAGTGTAGTGGTGATTATAATTAAGAGTTGGGTCATAGCGGAGTATTACCATTCCCACTAGTTCCCGAGTTAACATCAATTTCATTTCCAGTTTCATTACACATACAAGTAATCTAATCATAGTATCACATCCTAGCATTTGTGCATTCCAAGGACGTGGCTATTCGAATAGGTTTACTTAACTCTGCAAAGGTGTATAAAATTTTCCCACACGATAGGTGCAACCTCGTCCATGACCATTGGACGAAATAGACCTAACGAGACCACGTACCCAAATGTACGCGACCTTAGATGTATATATAATTATACTATGGCTTCTCAGGGGTTGGAAACACACATAAACCAGAAGGATACATAATCGTCCCAACATGAAGATACCTAGTCATCACAATAAATAACCACATGGCTCGAAGATGGCCAAAACAATAATCACGGGCTCGAACGCGGCTAAAATCTCAAAAGCTTAATGTGGAAGATCACATAGCATCCACGCCAACCGGACCACGGAAGAAAACCTATTCCCCGTGTCTGCTCCTGATATTATGCTGCCTACACCGGCCTCCTAGTAGAAATTATACTTCTATCTAATGGGGTATAAGATCAAGCCTACCCATATAGGCATGTGGTTGTACGTAATATCACACTAGGCGAGGGGAACTATGAACCGGTCCTTATGTGACCGAGGCGAGTATCTCACACATGAATCATGTCCAGGCATCCCTGTCATGGTAAACTACCTCCATAGATTATCACCACTCGGCTCCTGTCGGGGTTTAGTTTCAGGTTTCCCAATTTGAAGTTCCATTATTATCCCTAATTTCATTTATATCGTGGAGCTCATAAATTAACAAGATAACAATTTATCTTAATTCAACAATAATCATTTTATAATAACCGAGCTCATATTCTAGGGTAATAATCTAATAATCATGTTTTAAACATTTTAGTGAGTTAAAGCAAGATGGTAGAGGGGGAGCTAGGACTTGCCTTCGTCGTTTTCACCTCCCGGCACGTCTACGAAATCTGGGTCCTCATTCTTCTGACGATCACCGTCGTCTGCTGGGCATAGCGATCGTATAAGACTACTGCTAAAACACAAATAAAGGCAAAGGCAAACACATAACATTTTGGTGGTGCAAATGATAGAGTTAGATTTTAGATAGATTTGAGAGGTGGTTTCATGTAAAAAGGAGTTAGGGTTCAAAAGTTATATATTTTAGAAGTTTATTTATAGATGGAAATCTAATTGGAATTTTATGATCAAATTTTCATACATAAAATATGGGTGAAAATTACATGATTAAATTCTTTATGTCATCTAGTTTATTTACGAATTTTCTAGAAATTTTTCTAAGCCAGGAAAATAGGTTTTTAACACTCTGTGTACACTACCCGAGTGTACTTAGCAATTTCCGTTGTGCACCCAGCGTTGTGTGTAGTGTGGGTGTGTGTGTGTGATAGGTGGGCCATCCTGCCACGTCAGTGGGGGACGGCGGCCAGACGGATTCCGTTGGCGACTTACCGGAGCAGGGGAAAGGGCTCGGGCTCGCCGGGGTAAGCTACGCCGGCGGTGTCGGGGCCCCCGGTGGAGGTGTTCAAGGGGTGGACGGTGCTCGGGGAGGATCACCGCGGCCGGTGGTGAGGTCAACGGCCGCAGCGAGTACCCGAGGTGGCGGTGCTGGCTCGCCATAGTTAGTGCGGCGGCGGCGAGCGGTGAAAGTGCTCCAAATGAACCTATTGTACTTAACCAACTATATGTACGTGTGCACGGGTGTGTGAGGAGTGCAGTGGAGGTGGCGTGATGACTAGCCGAGCCTCAACGACGGCTAGCTGGCGTCCATGGTGTCTCGGTGGTGCACGGCGCACGGGGGAGCATAACAAAGAGGTGAGGGAGGGAAACTAGCTACACCAGAAGGTGGAGAAGGATCTATGAAAACTCACCTGCCACTCCAATTGGCCAGGGACGCAGCGAGAAGGGAAGAAGAAGAAGAAGGTTCCAATGGCGTCATCAGTACCCGATTTGGGGTAAACGGACCTAGCGCCTTACAGAGAGGGAGAAGGGGAGAACAGAGGGGGGATGGTATGTTCCAGCTCATGGCGGAGCTTGTAGTGGTGATGGTTGAGGTGGAGGCTCACCGGCTGGGCCTTTTATAGGCCAGCAAGGTTGGTGGTGGCGGCAAGATATTTTCTCTCCCGCTGATGGATATTTCCATCTCGCACACGTGCTCGAGCTCAGTAATGGTGAGCTGGATGCCTCTGCATCCGTTCGTACTCCGACGAGGTCGGCGCAATGCATGGTCACGTCAGTGGGGTTTCGATGCCGGCATTGATGCGCTGTGGACATAGAGAGGAGGGAGAGGGGGAGATGGGACGGCTTGGGGTGTTGTCAACCCCGCGACTGTGTGCTCGTCTTCCCTGGCGCCAGGATGGGCCACGGCGGGGCCGGTACGGCGGAGCGGACGCAGGCTCTGCGTGGGGAGGAAGAAGGAGCTAACAGTCGGGCCCCACCTGTCAGTGAGAGGAGAAGGAAGAGGGGGACGCCGCCTGTTACCGCGGCTGCGTTGGGCCGGAGGCCGGCTCATGCGGGAGAGGGAAGAAAGGGAGGGAGATGGGATGCGCTACAGGCCGGAAGGAGACGGGGAGGGAGAGGGAGCCCAGTAGCTCTTTCCTATTTCCTTTTCCTTTTCTATTTTCCATACTTCCTATTAAGCTATTTTGAAATAGTTTGAATTCAAATTTAAATGCAACTTTGAATATAAAGTACTACCATATGTTCCACAAGCAAGAAAACACTCAAGCACACAATCCTACACATATAATTTCTAATTTCTATGTTGGCCTATTTATACTAATACCTAGGATAATTAATTGTATATGTTGGTTCCTATGCAAAGTTTTAAAAAGTTCAAATTTTTAGTGGTTTTTAAACTAGGTCAAAATTCAGGGTGTTACATCTGGCTACCCGGACAGCGGAGAATTTCTTCCGTCCCGCTTTTTTACAATAACGGATACAGGGTTCGATTCTAATACGCATCAGGTTGCGCCCTCCATATCTCGTATGTGACCTAGGGTCATGACGTGTACTCATACAAGATACAACAACTCACTTCTAACAATGATACGGTGTCTGATTCTTATACATAGTAGACTCCGCTGCAATGCACGGACACATTTGCTAGTAGTGACTTATATGGGACATTATGTTTTTTTCTTTGAGTATGTGAAATCTCGGCTCTTTGAGTATAGTTAAATATCTATTTATAATTGTTATTCATGTGATTTATGGTTAAATTTGTATATAATTATCGTATGTCGCTATTAGAACATAGCGCCCACAATAGCAACTGCTATCCACGGTTCGCTATCGATACCAATCTACTTTACGCTATTTATTTGCTTGGCTCTGGTGTCATTTTTTTGCCCGTGGGATGCACACACGTTGGCGGCGAGGCAGCCTGGTGCGGTGCTCGCAGGCAGACAACTGCCAGGCTTAGGCGCGTGGGGTGCACACAACGCAAAGGCACCCCGCCAGCGGCGGTAGGTTGGGGCGGGGCCCGCCCTGACGGGCGCGCAATTGCGGTGCGTGCAGTACAGCGAGAGCATGGATAGACAACATGAACCGTCATGTCAACAAGCAATCTCTGTAGCTGGATGTACAGTTGAAAGTTTAGCGATCCAAATGACACACACTTAATTTCCAGAGCTGCCAGGTATTTCACTCTAAACAACATTACATTTATGAACTTTACGAATATTACTTATCCTCCCACTACGCATCATAGAAATAGCTGGCAGACTGACAATGACACTACTGCTACATCATGGTAATCACAGTTTCTTTCCTTTTCCTCACCAGTCACTGTCCTATTAATCCACGTACTTTCTACACACAGATCAGAGAATGTTCTTCGCATATGAATTCCCCAATTCTCATCCCTTGACCCAACCCTGACACCGGCAGAGACTTGAGTAAGTGTCCACCGCGCCCAGCTGGTAGACATACTCGGTGACTGCACGACGTACACAGGAGTCCCACACCCTGGCTATTTCCTTCAACGACCTGGACATTGTGGAGGGGAAGTCTGAATGCCCGGTCCACCGCCACTGAGATGCTGCTGAACTTGTTCCTGTAGGTGACCCACAGCCACGGAGCTTGATTAATAACATCAATAATAAAGCAAGAACAATATGGTGGTGCGAACTAGTACTAAGAGTCCAAGACAAGCATGACTCACCTGATCCGAGCATCTCCTTCATCATCAGCGATCACTGGAGAGCTTCTTGGATAACCGGCAGGGATTGACAGTGTGGTGGGCATCACGAGAGGCTGAAAATTTCCTGACACTCCAAATTTTGATTTGAGACCTGGCGCAAGGGACACTGCAGTATATGACAGTTTGATCAGGGTCGTGCCATTGCATAAGGTGATCCTATCTGCTCCATCTTCGCCGGTGATGCTTATCAAGGTATCAATCAGTCTGCTGTTGACAGCTTCGATATCATCCAGTAGAGCATCCTTGACATTCTGCAATGCAGAGTTCATAGAGAATTAAACTGTAAGAGAAAATATAGCACTGAGTCCGCAATTCCATGGAAAAAAAGTAATTCACTATAGTTACCTGTGGTTTCTGCCTCTTACCACTGTGATATCCGCTAGATGCAGCATCTGATGCATTGGACTGAAATGTCAAAGTGCTGTCATCCGTGCTGCTGAGTGTTTGTGATCCAGAAGTCGATGTAACAGCATACACACGTTTCATTTTGTTATTGGATCCAATTGGTAATGGTACTGAATCCATATCAATCACTGCCGACTTCATCAAATTAAATGAGCTGCGAATCGCTGTTGGTGATGAAGAAAGCACCTAAAAAACAAAGCACAAAACTGTCAGTACAACAGTTTTCAGAGAGTGAATTGTTTTGAAGATGAGCAGTATTCAAGGCTCACTGCAGCAATTAGGCGGTCTATGGGCTTCTTGGCTACTGGTATTTCAGCTCCACCATGCTTCTGATCCTTAGCTTGATCAGCTGGTGGGGCTGGCGTCTTCGTCACTGGTGTTTCAGCTCCACCATGCTCCTGATCCTCTGCTTGATCAGCTGGTGGGGCTGGCGTCTTGGCCACTGGTGTTTCAGCTCCACCATGCTCCTGATCCTCTCAGCTTGATCAGCTGGTGGGGCTGGCGTCTTGGCCACTGGTGTTTCAGCTCCACCATGCTCCTGATCCCCAGCTCGATCAGTTGGTGGGAGTGGCGTCGACAATTTAGTTGTAGTGGCCTGTTTGCAGCCACTTACTGCTGTATTGTTATGCAGCAAGAATGAAGAATCGCTGTTAGATGGTAAAGCAGCAGGTACAGTCCCTGACTTGACAATGGCTGAAGGTGATACAGTCTTCACCAATGTAGAAGGTGAAGCAGCAGCTTCAAACCCTGTCTTCTCGGCCGATGTCAATGCAGACTTCACTGACACACAGGGTGAACCAGCTGCTACAAGACCTTGCTTGGCAATGGGTGATTGTGATCTTCACTTCGGTGACTCATTGGGTGCAGCTGGCCAATTGGGCCCTTGATCCGCGTCCTGATCGGGAGCATCCAACCCTATATGGTTGGTGGCCTCCTCACACTGCGCTATAAAAGAAAGGTGGGGCCCGGCGGCTCAAGTTACGAAGTTCACCTGAGTTACAGTCGCTCCACCAACACAACCCTAATCCGATCTAAGAGAGGGTGCGCAGCCAGTGACGGGAAGCACCGCCACCGGCCAACGTCGCCACTGCACCGCCGCCCTTCCACACAGCACCACCACCGGGTCTTCATCAAGCACCGCGATGGTGAGTCCGTCTTCCTCCAAGGCGGCCGATGGTTTGCACTCCCTTCACCCCTCTCTCTCACTCTATCTATTAATCCTGTACTAGTAGATGTTCTAGGACTCACTATTTATTCCAAAAGCAAGTAGACACGCTAGATCTATGACTAGTGATCCTGTTTTAGGTCTATCAATGGTATTAGACGTCTAACTAGGTGTAGATCTAGCCTATCAAAAAAGAAAACCGAGTAGCAGCATTTAGAAGGAGGTGATAGATTCGTTTGGGGATCTAAACAGAGGGTTCATCGAACCCTAAACCCAATTCGGGTGAAGAAAAGAAGTAAGAGAAGGGTCTCGGTTTTGAAAAGCAACTCAAACCCTAACCCTAACCCGCGCAAACCGCTCGGGGAAGATGAATAGTAAGGAAACCCTAACCCAAATCTCGATCCTAACCCCATCCCCAACCCGAAATCAGATATATCTGAGAAGAAAAGAAAGAAAAATCCAAACAGAGAAGAAAAGGGGAAGGGGAAGAGGCCTACTTCGCCGCTGCACTGCGCTGCCGCCTCGTCGGCGCACGAGAAGAAGGGTCGAGCTGCCGCTGCACGTTGAGCGGGCACGTGCTCTGGCCAAGGGCGCTGCGGCAAGGCGCTCGACGGCGGCACGCTCACCCACTGGGGAGCACGCGCGCCGGCGAGGGGGCCGGCGATGGCGCCGTCATCGCCTCGCCTCACTCGGTGTCGTCGTGGGGCTGAGAGAGAGGAGGAGAAGTGAAATGAGCTTAGGGTTTGGGCACGGCCGGCAGGGGGGTTGTTCTCCTGAAAATGGCGCATGACCATCCGATCTGAATCGACGGCTGAGATCTACCAGGCCAACTTTCGGCCCAGGCGGGCGCATGCGGCGGGCGGCTTTGCTAGCCCAGGCCCAGGTTGCGGCCTGGAAAGGCGCAGCGCGCGCGAGAGCCGAACAGGCGTGGGCCAAATTCACAGCTGGGCCGCGACAGTGCACAGCACGCTAGGAATTTCGGTCCAAATTGTAACGTTTTTCGTTTTTGTTTTATTATTTTCAGAAGCCGATTTCGATGAATTTTGTCTAGCTTAAATCTCTGTCAAAATTTGAATCAACGGGATAATTTTTTCAGAGAGTAGATTACTACAGTAAATGCTTCTACAAAGTAGATAAATAATTTTTCATGTTTCCATGGCAATGTAATAGTTTATTATCTTATAATTAAATTCGAACCAACGGGAGAATTTAATTTGAAGAGTAGTCATTTTTAGTCAATAAATTATAATATTATTATTTTTCTGACCAACATTGATAATAACAATATTATAATATTTATTTACAAGTTTTCCATGTATTAATTCTATTTCTGTCCAACGGTGATGTAGAATTAATGTATAAGAATATTGTATGTTTTAATTTTAACCAATGTTAAATTAAAGCATGCAATTATAATGTCATATTTTCTCACTGTCTCTGATTGTGTTTTTCAGGACTCAACCCAATGGCATTCATCTCGCACATACCACCTCTTAAAGGGGGCTACTATAGGGTATGGCGAAAGAAGTATGAGCTAGCACTTGCGCTGTCTAAAAATGACCTAGCGCTTACCTCCCCGTGTCCTACTGAGCCAGTGGACCCAGTGAGAGAAGAAAATGAGTCTGATGCTGATTTCACTGCTCGGCAGCGAGATCATGTAGAAGTACGGATGAAGTATGATCTCGAACGCAAGAAATGGGACATTTCAAACAGCAAGTTCTTGATGGTGGCTAAGTCCACAATTTTAGATGCTATAAGGGGGTCTATCCTAGACTATGATACCGCCACGGAGTACCTTAAGAAAGTGGAGAGTCAATTCACTGGCTCTTCAAAGGCTTATGCCAGTACATTGATCAAAAAATTGTTCAATGAAAAATATACTGGTAGTGGTATCAGAGAGCACATATTAAAGATGAGCAACACGGCTTTAAAGCTGAAGCCAATAGATTTGGGGCTCAAGGATGAGTTCTTGATTCATTTGGTTTTTGCTTCCTTGCCAAAGGAATATGAAACCTTTGTTGTTAACTACAACATGCAGCCCAACAAGTGGGACATAGAGAAGCTCATCGTAATGTGTGTTCAAGAAGAGGAGAGACTAAAATCCTTACAGGGTGACTCTGCTAACCTTATGAAGGACAAGAAGAAGAATTTCAATAAGAATGCCAAACCTCAAGGGAAAGCCCCTCAGACTGAGCATCATCAGAAGAACAACTATGCTCAAGTTGAAAAGGATCAGTGCAAATGGTGTAAGAAGAATGGATACTATTAGAGGGACTATCCAGACTTCCTAAAGAGTCTGCTGAAGAGAGGTGAGAATTTCATTACATTCATAGATGAATCCTTGTATTTAAGTTATGCAAAATCTACTTAGTGGATTGATTCAGGTGTAATTGTTCATGTTGCAAATTCATTACAGGGATTCCGTATGAAGAGGATCCTGCAAAGAGGAGAAAGAAGAATTAAAGCTGAAGTTGAAGTTGAAGCCATTGGAGATCTTTCTCTAGAATTAGTTGATGGTTTTCTATTTAAGCTTTCAGATGTTCTATTTGTACCCTCTTTACGAAGAAACTTAATAAGTGTTTCACGTTTAAATGACGATGGATATGATTGCCATTTTAGTAATGGCAAATGTCAGATTGTTTATAATAATAAATGTGTTGGTCTTTCCTTCCGACAAGACAAGCTTTATTTATTATCACTTTCTAAGAATGTGAATGATGTAAGTACTGAGAATGAGAATGCTTCCTCATCTATGAATGCAACAAATAAGCGGAAGAGAGTGCATGATGTATCTTCAAAATTATGGCACTGTTGTTTAGGCCATATTTCGAGGGGGAGAATAGAGCGATTAATTAAGAAATTAATTCTTTCGCCTTTAGAATTTTTAGATTTAGAACAATGCATAGATTGCATAAAAGGAAAGTATGTTAAGAAAATAAAGAAAGATGCCAAACGAAGCGCATGAATTTTAGAAATAGTTCACACAGACATCAGTGGTCCTTTTTCCTATAAAGAGTGTGGATGATTATGATTCATTTATAACATTCACAGATGACTACTCACGTTTTGGCTATATTTATCCAATTAAGGAAAGATCGGAAGCATTGGATAAATTTAAAATATTCAAGGGTGAAGTAGAGAATCAGCACAACTTAAAGATTAAGGTAGTAAGGTCCGACCGTGGGGGAGAGTACTACGGTCGACACAACCCATATGGCCAAGTTCCTAGACCCTTTGCAAGGTACTTACAGGAAAATGGCATAGTAGCCCAGTATTCTACACCGGACGAGCCTCAGCAGAATGGAGTAGCTGAAAGACGTAACCGTACCTTAATAAATATGGTGAGAAGCATGATAAGTTACTCTTGCTTACCGATAAGCTTATGGATGGTGACGTTAAAACCTGCCATTCATATTCTTAATCGAGTGCCAAGTAAGTCGGTGCCCAAAACACCGTATGAGCTGTGGACAGAAAAGGAACCATCACTAAACTATTTACGTGTGTGGGGTTGTCCAGCTAAGGCAAAAGTATTTAATCCAAATATAGGGAAGCTGGACTCCAAGACAGTCAGTTGTCATTTCATTGGCTATCCAGAAAAGTCAAAAGGTTATCGCTTCTATTGTCCTGACAGACAAACGAAGTTTGTAGAAACAAGACATGCTGTCTTCTTGGAGGATGATATGATTAGGGGGAGCATGGTAGAACGAGAAATTAGTTTTGAAGAGAAGCGGGTATACGTGCCCACTCCCATGGTTCAGGAGCCATTCTTCACGCTACCTCTTGTTGCTAAACCAACGGTGCAAGACTGCAGTAATAGCACCTATTGTTAGTTCTCCTGTGGCAACAATGAATGAACCTGAGGAACCTATCCTTCAGGATCCCCTAGAACCCATTGTCACACATGAGGAAGAGCAACAACAACCTCATATATAACAAGCGTCATCTAACGAGGCCCCTACAAGGTCTCAAAGAGTTAGGAGATCAGCCATTCCTGATGATTATGAAGTTTATGAAAGTGAGGAATTTCAAATGGAGGGTGATCCCACCTTATTTGAAGAAGCCATGAGAAGCGCTCACTCATCCAAGTGGCTTGAAGTCATGGAAGATGAAATGAAATCAATGAAAACCAACGGTGTTTGAAACTTAGAAACAATTCCTAAAGGAGCCAAGACGGTAGGCTATAAATGGGTCTACAAAACTAAACATGACTCCAACGGGAATATAGAAAGGTTTAAAGCGTGACTTGTGGCGAAAGGTTTCACGCAAAGAGAAGGCATAGATTACAATGAGACATTTTCTTCAGTCTCATGTAAGGATTCTTTTAGAATCATAATGGCTCTTGTAGCACATTACAACTTAGAATTACATCAGATGGATGTAAAGACGACGTTCCTAAACGGGGATTTGGAGGAAAACGTTTACATGGCACAACCGAAAGGTTTTTTTGTGGAAGAAAAAGAACGTATGGGATGCCGCCTAAAGAAATCCATTTACGGATTAAAACAAGCTTTAAAACAGTGGTATTTGAAGTTTTATAGTACAATAAAAAAGTCTGGGTTACAAGAAAATGTAGAGGACAATTGCGTTTATACAAAGTTCAAGAATGGAAAATACATTTTCCTAGTCTTGTATGTGGATGACATCTTGCTCGCTAGCAGTGATATTAATCTACTACTAGAAACAAAGAACTTCTTGTCCTCAAAGTTTGATATGAAGGATCTCGACGAAGCTTCGTTCGTCTTAGGAATAGAGATTCACCGAGATAGAGAAAAGGGAGTTTTAGGATTATCACAAAAGGCATACTTAGAAAAGTTCTAAAGAAATACAGTATGCAAAATTGTAAATCGTCACCTGCTCACATAGTCAAGGGCGACAGATATGGGGAATTTTAATGTCCTAGGAACCAATATGAGATCGATCAAATGAAAGCGGTTTCATATAGTTCAGCTATCGAAAGTTTACAGTATGCTCAAGTATATACTCGCCCTGACTTAGCATTTGTTACCGGGTTGCTTGACAGATATCAGAGTAATCCAGGAATAGAACACTGGAAATTAGAAAAGAAAGTTTTGCGTTACCTGCAAGGTACGAAGGGTCTCATGCTAACGTACAGAAGATCTGATTCCCTACACATAGAGGGGTATACAGATTCTAATTATGCAGGAGATGAAAGAAAGTCCACGTCAGGATACATATTCACTCTCGCAGGAGGAGCTATATCATGGAAAACCTCAAAACAAACCGTCACTACATCGTCAACAATATATGCCAAGTTTGTAGCATGTTATGAAGCCACGGGGCAGGTGAATTGGCTAAAAAAAATTTATGCCCGGGTTGAAAGTGGTAGATGACATACATAAACCACTCAAGTTATAGTGCGATAATAATCCAGCAGTATGTTATGTTCACAACAATAAGTCAAGTGGTGCTACCAAACACATTAACATAAAGTATTATGTTGTGAAAGACAAAGTCCGGGATCATATAATTAGTCTTGAGCATATAAGAACAGAAAAGATGCTTGCGGATTCGCTTACAAAAGGCTTACCACCCAGCGTGTTCAGAGAACACTTAGCTGGCATGGGTTTAAGGAAAAGCCTATGATTCCTGGACAATAAGGGCCTAGTTGAGAATCTATTTCAAAACAGAAAGGTGCATTGTAGCTATTTAATATAATGACAACTGATCATGATGATGAGGCACGCTCTATGCATTGATCTGTGATGGAATGGAAATAAGATAAAGTAAGTAAGTTGAGTTTAAGTAATAAGGTGAGATCAAGGGGGAGAATGTTAGATGATCTCAACGGCCAATTGGGCCCTTGGATCCGTGCCCTGATCGGGGGCGTCCAACCCTACATGGTTGGTGGGCCCCCGTCACACTGCGCTATAAAAGAAAGGTAGGGGCCAACGGCTCAAGTTACGAAGTTCACCTGAGCTACAGTTGCCCCACCGACAGAACCCTAATCCAATCTAAGAGAGGGTGCGCAGCCAGTGATGGGAAGCACCGCCACCGCACCGTCGCCCTTTGACACAGCACCGCCACTGGGTCTTCATTAAGCACCGCGATGGCGAGTCCGTCTTCCTCCAAGGCGGTCGATGGTTTGCACTCCTTTTACCCCTCTCTCTCACTCTATCTATTAATCCTGTACTAGTAGATGTTCTAGGACTCACTGTTTATTCCAAAAGCATGTAGACACACTAGATCTATGGCTAGTGATCCTGTTTTAGGTCTATCAAAAGCAACCCAAAACTTGGAAATTGGTGATGGTGTGCAGCATAACTCAACAAAATCATTGGTTAGCGAAAACTGCAGTACTCCAGGTGATTTGTATGAGAAACAAGGGCTTGTTCCTCCTTGCGATTGGTTACTATTGGTTTTCTGGCCAGCAAGTGTTGTGACAATGTTTTGCCTCGTTTGGCTGATGCTTTCATGTGGCGGCAGTGGACAGTGCAGATTGCTTTGCTTATTGACAGTAGTCTGACTCTGAGCAGGAGATATTGGATGAGAATCCATGTTGGTCTGCCCGCATACCTTGGATGGTGATTGTATCCCAGAAGCCCACCCAGCATTCTGCTGATTGTTCCATCCACCAGAATAACCAGTCTTCATCTTCCCCACATTAGCTGCAAGCATTTGATACCTTTGCATATGCATGCCCACCTGCTGTTGAGTGATCCAAAAATGCTCTTGCTGTACTGTAGGCAGCAGGTGCTGCACACAATCCCAGACATTTTGCTCGAGGAGTTGATTCTGGTACCCGTTTGGTCGTGCAATTTGCTGTCCTTGCAGCTGTACCGTACTTGCTGGGTGGCATTGTGCAATGTTGGTAAGCTGCAGTTGCATGGCTGGGGATTATCTTTCAGTCTGCATAGCTATTGATTGCATGATATGCTGACTGGACTGGATGGGCTTAGAGTTGAAATTCTGATAAAGCATTGCCATCATATCAGATGGTCCTTGGTTGACATTACTATTCATGTTTGACGCAACAGAGCAAGCCGGGTGCTGATTCGGTGACTGAAATGGTGGCCATGAGGGACTAGCCGTCATGGGCACTGCCTGAGGGGTTGTGGTGGGCGGGGAATTATTGACTCCCTGAATAGTGTCAGTGTTTCGAATCATCGGCTAGTAAATTTTTAGTTTGCGCGTCTAGCCCGGATGGCTATGCTCGGAGGACACAAGGATTTATACTGGTTCGGGCGGAATGTCCCTACATCCAGTTTGTTGCTGCTTGTGTTACCGGCATTTGGTTTGTAATAGAGGTTACAAACAGGCGAGAGAGGGAGCGGGTCTCAAGTCTCTGATGGAAATATCGTATGCTAGGTGTGGATGCGTGTGGGAGTTGTATCCTAGTGGCGTCGTGCCTTCGAAGTGTCATCCCCCTCCAGGGGCGACTTGCTTCCTCTTTTATAGACGAAGGGGAAGATACAGGTTACACGAGAGAGAGAGAGAAAAGCCAGGAGAACAGAAGGCCTCCGCGGTCGCAGCGTCTTTCCTTTCCTTCATGCGGGTCCCGCCGACCCTGTAGATCATGACGAGGACAGTTCCACGTCGTTACCCTGTTCATCACTGGCCCTATACGCTGATGTCGTCAGCCAGTCGTGACGCCCCATCCCGTCCTGGTAGGCGTTATGGTGAGCAGGTATCCCCGTCGAAAGCCATACGCTCGGCACTGTTGGCGACGTGCATCCTCAGATGTGGCCTGTCGTGGCTGCGAGTCATGTCAAGGCACGCCTGCTCCCTTTTCGGTGTCAGATGTTTGACCCTGGGCTCGCGCCACAAGACCTGTAGTGGTTGGGGGCGGTACGGACCCCGTCGGGCGAGGCGGAATCCCCCGTCGAGGGGTCTGGCGAGGCGAGACCCGCGCCCTCGGGGTCGAGCGAGGCGGAGCCCATGCCCTCGGAGTCGGGTGAGGCGGAGCCCGCACCCGAGGGGTCGAGTGAGGCGGAGCCCGAGGGGTTGAGCGAGACAGAGCCCGCACCCTCGGGGTCGGGCGAGGCGGAGCCCGTGCCCGAGGGGTCGAGCGAGGTGGAGCCCGTGCCCTCGGGGTCAGGAGAGACGGAGCCCGTGCCTGAGGGGTCAAGCGAAGATCCAGATACGATCTTGACCATTCGGGGGAGTTAGCGTCCACGGCCATCATCTTCCCTCTTTCGGGTATCCCTGGTTCTGATACCCGATAGTAGCCCCCAAGCCTGCAGAGGAGTAGGATACTCCTTCGAAGGCTTTTTCAGACAGAAGGATTCTGAGGGTCTTGATCTCCCTTTGCGGGCAGTGGGATGTCTTGGTTGGGTCATGATTCCCTTCCGTTGCGTTCGGACCTCACGGCAATATGCGGTTGCGAGAATTGGGGGGTCGGAAAAGATCTCTCTCAATTTCGTTCCCACCCTAGGATCACATCGATCCGCCATTGTCCTGCGACCGCGTATTCGGTCTCCTTGCGAGTCCAACCCCCAAGCCCCCGCATGTAGCAAGAGTCCGATCAAGGGGTCAGCTCATCTTGTAATCGTCCTCCCTCACGCATTTTTTTTGATAAAACGGAGGGGCTGAGCTGTGCCATGTTTTCCTCGATGGGCGAATCGTGGTGATTAGTGAGCTGTTAACGGGCTAGTCTGAGCGGGGGCCCAGCTTCCCATTCGCAAGGGTCTGGCATGGGTCAGCTGGTGACCGTCCAGATTCCTGATGGCCAGTCCATATAGTTCTCGGGTTCGTTCGACCGGTCCCGAGGGCTCGTTGCCTTTTTTCGAGGAAAAACCATGGACCGTGCTCTATCAAGACTCGAACACGGGCTGGGATGTCTGTGACGCTCGTGCACAAGGGTACTGGCCGCTAGCGGGCCTATTCCTTTCCACCCCTCACTCCAAGGGTGCCCTGGAGCGGCTGTGAACCCATCGGAGGGCCAACCTTCGAACCCCTGGGCTTTAATGGGCCGTGGGAGCGTTTTTAGCTCCGTATCCCTTCTTACCTATGCCAGTTCTTGGCCCATCGAATGGGATGAATTGTCATCCAGCGCGTCCTTCAAGGGAGCGGCCAGAGGTGGCATGCGCACGATTTTCGAAGAGGCGAAGTGATGGGGCGTGGCAAGCACGTGGATCGAGGCGGACGGTTCACCTCCCGCTTCACCTTCTCCTATAAACAGGGACCTTTCCCTTTGTCCCTGATTTGTCTGACCACAACCTCGCCATCTCTGCTTCTCTGCTGCCGGCGCCCGGATTTCTTGCCCTCGCTCTTTCGCCCCCAGCAAAGCTCTCATTTCTCCGCCTTTGCTTCCCATGGAGTCATGGTATCGCTCCGACATCACCCACGTGCGCATGGAGGGCCTCGTCAAGCGCGGTCTCCTCTATGGGAGAACCGACACGGTGGAGTGGCTCGTGCCTGGTCGTGAGGAGGTGCCGGCGCTGCCCGACAGCTACATCGTGTCTTTCGCGCCATTCCACAAGCGTGGGTTCGTGATCCCCCCTCACCTGTTCTTTCGGGGGCTGCTACACCATTACCAAATCAAGCTATAACACCTGAACCCGCACATCGCAGCCTTCATTGCGATGTGCGAGGGGTAACTAGGAATCAAGCCCCACTTCGAGTTGTGGAGATACTTCTTCTCCGTCTCCCTGCAAAAGAACAAGAAGAGGGACGCGCCGGTGCCGATGGGATGCGCGATCATCCACCTTTGGGGGCACTCATTGGCGGAGTACATGCCCTAGCAGCTCTCCAGATCCAACAAGGGGTGGCACATGTTGTGGTTCTATGCGAAGAACGCTGCCGCTGCCCCCTTGCCGAAGTTCACCGGGCGCCTCATCGAAGAGGCACCGTAGGTGTGGTCATGGGGGCCTCCCGAGAAGGAGAAGAGGAGGCTACGTGACCTTCTTGATGCCATCGCGTTCCTCAAGGACCGTGGCTTTCGTGGGGTCGGCGTCATCGGGGCATACCATGTGAGGAGGGTGGCGCCGCTGATGGTGCGTGTCCTGCCGCTATATGGGATGATGCCTGATGCGCAGTTCGATGAGACTACGCTCGCCCAGGGGCCGCTCAATGATAGCAAGGTCGCACAGTGCATCAAGGAGGCAACGAACGAGTCTGACACCGTGTTCCTGATCTCAGGACAACCCATGATGCGCTGGAGCCAGGCTTCATCGAGCTGTTGGTGGATTTGGGGTTTCGGGCCTCTGTCGCGCCGCTGCCGGAGCATGCGGCCATGAGGGTGGTGAACCGTGCCATAGATGAGTAGAGGAAGAAGGAGAAGGACGACAAGGAGAAGAAACGGCGGGTGAAGGAGCAAGCAAAGCTAGAGCGAGGGAAGTGACACCAAGGCTTGTTGATGGAGGAAGAAGCAAAGAGGAGGGGGCGACGGCTCTGGGTCACCCATCCCATGGGATGATCTGGCTGGTGGGGACGAGGACCTGCCTTTGCCAGAGGCGAGGCCCTTCTCGTGGCATCTCCTAGAGCAAGAGGGGGAGGACACACCCCCAGAGATGGTAGGAGCGAGCCGCCCCGCTCTATCCGAGCCTTCTGCGGCCCCCCGAAGCCGAGGGGAACCAGCGGCTCTGCCTCGTCCAAGCCTCCTGAGCAAAGGGAGGGCTCAACATGGCAGTGCGATGAGGAGTGGCAACCGGGGTCAGGTGGGCCGGCCTCGAAACGTCAGCACCCGACGGCATCAAGGTAAGCTAAGAGTTTTTTTCATTCTTTTATTTTTTTGACGAATTTTTCACCATGAAGTAACTGTCGTGTCTTCCACAATGTTAGGGGAGTGGGATCCTCCTGAAGCTGGCGTCGAAGAAGACTCTCACCTTTTGGCGGGCGGGCCAGGACCCGTCTGGCACTGCGTCGGAGGCTGGCGGGAGCATTGCCGGTGCGACCATAGGATTGATTGGGGAGGCATAGCCTTCCGCCGCGTCTACGGGAGGGCAGGTAGCAGGAGGCGCATCTAGGGTGCCTGTGGTAGGCATGACGCGGCCAGGTGCAACCGTGATGTCGCAAGCGAAGACGGCGTGGTTGGAGCAGTCGTCCATGCTGGCGGGCGCATCGGTGATGGGGCAGATATGGGAGGCCGTCCCTGAGGCATCCTCGGTAGGCGTGGCATGGCCGAACGTGACCATGACGTCGTCGGTGGAGGCGGCGCAACCAGGGCTATTGTCCGGGCAGATGGCGGCATCCATGGCGGGGCGGACGGAGGAGGCCGTGCCCAGTGCACCCTTGGCGGGCATGATGGTGGGGCAGGCTTCCTTGTTTGTGTCACCCACCCCTTCTACTGCTAGGGGGTCCGCTCTAGAGGAGTTGCGGTCATGAGAGGGGTCGGTGTAGAGGCATCTTGGCTTCTGGTCCGGGTCAAGGATGACCCTAACACCTGGAGAGGACCCTAGATCCGGTGGGCCGACCGTCGGGACCCAGGGGCGATGCTCTTCGCCCTTGATGACGCCGCGGAGAAGAGGGAGTGGGGGAGCGTCCACACAGAGGCGGTCCATGCCCTGACCACCACGCCGAGTTTGCTGCAAGATGTTATAGCTCTAGTTGGCCAGGTATAGTGCATCAATATTTTCATCCTTCGTCTTCCCTTTTCTTGCCTTTTAACTCATACCCTTTTCATAGGTTCTCATGGACCGCAGCCAGGAGAAGTTTGTGTTCCTTCACTACGAGAAGGGCGTTTAGGATCGCCTCGTGGTGGAGGAGCAGCTGCGAGCCACGGGGGAGCGACTACGTGAGGAACTGGTCGCCTAGCTTGCTACCACTCGTCAAGAGGTGGCCAAACTAGCCCCCGTTCACCAGGAGTTGGCCGACCTCTGGATCAAGTATGTGGAGGCTCGTGATGACACCCACGAAGCTGGGGATAAGCTCCTAGACCTGGTCGAGAG